AAAAAAAAAAAAAAAAAAAAAAGTTTCCTAAGTCAAAGCCCACCCGCCCCCAACTGACTTGTCAGAAAGGCACACTGGGAAAGTCCATGCCCCTTTTTTGCAGCCACTGAATAAGGCTACAGTTTTGCCACAGAAGGAACAGGGGTGTGGAGGAGAGAGCCTGGAAGGTCCAGAAGTTGGAGGCAGGGCTATTTCTGCTGTGAGAGAGCAGTTTCTACTTTGGAGAAAAAGAAGGTCAGCATTCCTCTCTGGGGTCAATGCTCAGTTCAGTGTTGGGTTTTCAAAGCCATTAGTAAGGGCAGGGTGTGGCTCAGTGGTACAGCACTCATCTAAAATGCAGAAGGCCCTTGGTTCGGTTCAATCCCCAATACCACATGTCCATACAACAACAACAACAACAAAAAAAAAAACCAAAAAACACCAAACAAACAAAAAAACTAGGACAACAGAATTTATCACCTGAAGAGCAGCTAGCCGCAAAATTAAGATTTTGCATTCGAAGCAGTTTATAGACTCTTTTGCTCCCCATGCTAATTCACTTTGACCAGAAGAAAAAGTGGCTGAATTCACTGAAAACTGTGAGAGCAACTAGCCTGTATCTCACAGGAGAAAAGGGGATGATGCCTTTAAAAGAACTCAAGGTCATGGCTGTCATGGCTGCCTAGCTACTTCAAATGGAGACCATTACTAATTAGGGTAGAGGAACTGGGAAGACAACATTCCCTTTTCACAATCATCTTCAATGTTTTACTATTTTTAAAAAGCAAAACCGTTATTTATAGCCAAGAAAGACCTACCTTACATGGTAACTAGAATTCGTTTAATATGTAAACGGCAGTAGCAAAGCTACCAACCTATTAAAATTATAAATCTGTTATGTTTATCTTATAAGCAACCATACTGCAAGATGTCTCCAAAATATTATTCTATACAAAAGGTCAAGCAGAAAGATGCCAGATGCTGGGAGAGACACCCAAAGGTTGTCCACAGGAACCTAAACACCCCTAAATCTAGTACTCGTGTCATTGTCACTTTGCAGGCTCTGACGCCATGCTGCAGAGGAGTTGGTACAACAAATACTGAAGGGTAAATCCTGCAGTGCTTAGGAACCAGAGTAGATTGATTTCGAAAGATGAAAGTATGGAGGGCATATAGACATTTGCTGGTCTCTGGTGCTTTTGAGGGTTAACTGTACTTACGCACAGTTAATACATCTAACCACCACCACTCTTCATTTCCATAGTACTTTATGTCATTTATAAATTTGATAAGCCTTCTCTTAAAACTACTTATTTACTTTGTGGTGCTAGGGATGGAACCCCACAGAGTGCTAGGTAAACACTCTGCCACTGACCTATACCCCAGCCCTTCTGATTTTGAGATAGTCTTGCTAAATGGACCAGGCTGGCCTCCACCAGTCAATCCTCCTGCCTCAGCCTCTCAAGTGCTGGGATTACAGATGAGCCACCATCCATGGCCCTCTAAAGTTCCTTACATAAGGGGGAAGGTCAAGACTCTTGTCAGCATTAGTAACTATAACTTTCCAAGAAATGTGGCCTTTACTATCTTTTCTCAATAGTCTGATTCAACCCCAGCACACCTGGAATCCTAGCTACTCAGGAAGGAGGCGGAGGTAAGAATATTGAGTTCGAAGCCAGCCCATGCAAAGCTAGCAGGATCCTGTTTTTAAAAAGGGCTGGGGGCATAGTTCAAGTGGTAGAGTATTTGCCTGGCACGCTCAAGGTCCTGGGTTCAATCACCCATAAAGACATAAATAAAAAAAGTCTCATTTAAAAATGCTTATATTGGGCTGGAGGTGTGGCACAAGTGATAGAGGGCCTGTTTTGCAAGCACAAAGCACTAAATTCAAATTTGAGTCACATCAAAAAAAAAAAAAAGGGCTTACGTAATCTGAAGAAAAACAAGAATTTAGAGCCACAGGTGCTTGCTATAAAAATTATAGTATGATGTTCTGCTGAATTCCCTTGCAGTCTGAAAATATGGAAACGAAGGGAAACTTGGGTTGATTTTGTTTATCATTGGATCTAGTGAAGCAATCTGTAAGTCATGGTGCTGGTTTAATCCTGCCCTGTTTTTTCCATGGCCTAAACCCAGGACTGTTTTTTGTTTCCAGTATTAGAGATTGAACACAGAGCTTTGTGTGTGCTAGGCAAGTGCTCTACTACTTGAACTATGCCTTATATGCCCCAGCCACCACCCTCCCTTTTTTGTGGTACTGGGGTTTCAACTCAGGACCTTGCTATTGTTAGGCAGGCATTCCACTATTTGAGATACACACCCACCCAGTCCTGTGTTTTGTTTTTGAGATAGGGTCTTAATAACTTTGCCATGGGTTGGCCTTGAACTCATGATATGCCTGCCTTCACTGCCTGAGTGCTGGGATTACTGGTGTCTGTTTCCCACCACAAGTGGCTTAAGAATCAGCAACTCAACCCCATTCCCACCTCCAGTGCTGAGAATCAAGCCTAGGGCTTCACACTCTACTACTGAGCTATAATTTGAGCCCCTGAACCCCAATGGGCTGTTAAAAGAAAAATTTTAAGCCAGCCACGATGGCACACACAGGTAGTCCTAGTACTTGGGAGGCTGAGGCAGGAGGATCACTTGAGTCCAGGAAATGGAGACCAGCCTGGGCAACATAGTGAGAACCTGAATAGAAAAAAAAAAAAAATCCCCCAAAATACAAAGAAAAGGGAAAAAGTTAAAAGGAAGAACAGGCTGGCAGAATGGCTCAAGTGGTAGAGGGCCTGCCTAGCAAGTGTAAGGACTTGAGTTCAAACCCTAGAACCACAAAATAAATAAATGAATAAGTAAGTAAATAAGTAAGTAAATAAATAAATAATATAATAGAAGAGTGACTGTAAATGGCTGGTCCTTTATAGAAAAAGTTGAAATACCCCTCGATCAAGGGTTTATTCTGAATAGGAATGATAGAAACAGAAGTGCACAGATTATCTGGCTTACATGGATATGAGCCCAGTGAGGATGTGTGGCTCTTCTCCTCCCATGGCCACTGCACGATGCTTCTCTAGTACAGTGCACTCCATGATGCTGTCCATGAAAACCCACACACATCTCCTAATGCATGTACTGAGACTAAAGGCTGTAGAACGCATACCTCACATATGAAATTTATGATCAGCTTCTTGGAGCTTCTGGTTTGTCATCAACTGTGCCTGCCTCTTAGTACCCTGGGCAGACTGCATATTGGCTCCCAATTTTATGCAACAGGGATCTCGAGTAAGGGACATTATAAACCTACAGACAGAGGTCCAGTAATCTTACGCACATATTCCACTGAAGATTCAATAATGCTTTTGAACTTTATTATCAAGAATTTCAGTCCTCCTAGCTACTCAGGAGGTAGTGATCAGGAGGATCACAGGTGAGGCCAGCCAGGGCAAATAGTTCGACAGACCCTATCTCGAAAATACCAAGCACAAAAAATAGCTTGTGGAGTGGCTCAAGTGGTAGTCAAGCAAGCATGAGAGTGAGTTCAAACCCCAGTACCACCAAAAAAAAAAAAAAAATTCAGTCCAAGTATCAACTAAATGTTACTGAGCCATTATACGTAAAAGCAAGCTGCAAATTACAGTGGAAGACAGAATGAGAGGACATAAGTTTCCCAAGGAACTTAAAATTTTTGGGGGGCAGGGGGATCAAACTCATGCTGATGAAGAGACAAGGTAGTACAAGTTCTAAACAAAAACAAGAAAACTATACAAATGAGATCAGTCTTTACCTTTTAAATCACACCATGCTACATTTATCTAGGAGCATTATGAAATGCCTGGCTCTCAAAGTAAAAAGAAGTTCCCTTGAGGACCTCTCAACGCCCTCCCCTCCACCCCCAAATCAACATCTCTCTATCCCCCTGCAGGCTAGCTCAACCTTCCATCTCCAGGTTAATACTTCCTGGATGTGATCTCAAATGCACCCCTGGAGTGATGTGGGGACTTTATTATATATACCATAAGTTAAGTGTGGACACAATGTCCCGACACCTCGCATAGCTCTGCCATATAATAAACGCTTTCTAAGACTTTACTGCCAGGGCATGAACTCAACTGATAGTTTTATGGGAGGCTCCTGAATCATTTGTTTCATTTCACAGAAGACAAATTATCTTCTTGGAACAGGCTCAGAATTTGGTTCCTAAGTAGTTTCTGACCTACATTTAGTTGCTACCAGTTGTGACCTCTGCAAGGACTACATGTGTGGGGCAAGCTTATGTATTGCTCCACAGTTTTTTGCACTTTCACAATGAGAGCTATAATCGCCAATTACTGTACTGAATAAAAACATTTCTAAATTGTAGGATAAACTTTCCTAATTTGTAGGATAAAGAAGAACAAATTACATGACTCTGTAGGTCCCTCCTTGCTGAAGTACTGTTTTTGATGATCATTGACGGCTATTAATCTAAAATGTATACCAGTCAGGCATGGGTGGCTCACGCCTGTAATCCTAGCTACTCAAGAGGCAGAGTTCAGGAGGATTTCATTGCAAGTCAGCTGGGAAAATTGTTCACGAGACCCTAGTTCAAAAATACCCACCACAAAAAAGGGCTGGCAAAGTGGCTCAAGTGGTAGAGTGCCTGCCTAGCAAGTTCAAACTCCACCACTGCCAAAAATAAAAAAATTAAAAAAAACTATATAGCATTATTACTGCTCTTGGATCAAGTGTAAAATGTATACCATTACTGTGGTTATATCGCAAGAGGTAGAACCAACCGTGAGGGTCTGAATTCAGTCCCCCGTACTGCCAAAAAAAAAAGTATACCACTACTATTATATTATCATTACATGCTACTATTAAACATGCAAAATCATTGTATTGGGTTAATTCCCTGGGAAGGCAGAATGAACAGTATGATATCCATTCCAGCAGTCTCAATTTTAAAAACTATTTGGAACAGGCCGGTGGGTCCCCTACTTGGGAGACCAGTGGAGCACAACTTACGGATGTGGTTTCATTTCTATGTAGTTCTTGGGAATGAAGCCGTCCTTCCCATTGAGCTCTGCCTTGTACCAGTTCTGATCACATTCTTCATTTAAAACCTGGAAAGAAATAAAAAGGGTAAAAAGTCAAACTTTTTTTCCCCCTTTTAGAAGGGAAGCATGAAACAACTGTGCTCCTTGTAGGTTTATCAAAGGTCTTATTTGAAGTATTATCAGCTACATGATGTAAGATTTCTTGGAACTTCAACTAGCATTACATTAAACTCTGTGACAATTAAAAAGAAATTGTTTCTAGAAATGATAGGTCAGGCTCTGAAACACTAGAATTAAACTCTCAGCAGGAAAACAAAAGAATGACAGGGGAAAATAATATATATATTTTTCCAGGACTGGGGATTGAACTCTGGGCCTCTAAGCATTCTACCTCTTGAGCCACGCCCTCAGTCCTAGATTAGCATTTTTTAAAGAAAAGTAGAGAGTAGATTCTGGGAAACAGCAGATAATGCTACTGGAGAGAAAATGAAGCCTGACAGATTAAACAAGTCTGCAATCTGGGAGAGAGAGGTGTAACAGGAGAAGCCAGCAGAAAGAGGGCAACTTTTAGCTTTCTCTGGAGAGCTCCAAGCCAACCTCCAGGATCCACAGTGATCCCATCCTGGGATTCCCCAGTAGCTTCTCCAGGTTCCTGCAAGTGTGGGTCAGCACCAAGAAGCTCTGCAGTGCTGCTGCTCCTGAGCACAACCATGGGCCCTGTATGGGAAAACTGCTTAGTGACCAAGCCTGGCAAGTCCTACCAGCACAATTCAGGTAAAACACTTGGAGAGCCTGAACTTGAGCCACTGCACCCTACAAATGTAAAAACACACCTAGAAAAATGGAATGGCCATCTAAGTTATGAGCTAGTGACCTCATACAGCAGAAAACTACACGAACTTTAGTGGGATGCCAGTGGCTAGCTACTCAGGAGGCAGCTACCTCAGGAGGCAGGGCAGGAAGTTCGAGGTTCAAAGCCAGCCCAAGGCAAACAGTATACAAGACACTATCTTGAAAAAACCCACCACAAAAACAGGGCTGGTGGAGGAGCTCAAGTGGTAGAGTGCCTGTCTAGTAAATGTGAGGCCCTGAATTCAAACCCCAGTACTGGGGAAAAAAAAAAAAAAAATCACACCCAGATCTATAGATTCCAAATGAATGTTTTCTCCTATGAGACAGACAGGCAGAAAAGGCCACAAGACTAATCTGTAGAGTAATATGAGGAGCAGAACAGAACTTAGTGGATAAATGCCACTTCATGAATTCTAGACTTTTAACAAAAGTTAAAGGGCAGAAGGCACAAAGTTGGTTTCTCTTTTTTTTTTTTTTTTTTTGTGATGGGACTGGGGTTTGAACTCAGGGCTTCATACTTGCTAGGCAGGTTTGAGTCACTCAGTCATTCCTATTTTGTACTGAGTATTTTCCAGATAGGGTCTTGAGAACTATTTGTCTGTACTGGTTTCAAACTATGATCCTGAGTAGTTAGGATTACAGGTGTGAGCCACTGGCACCAGGATAAAGTTTTTCTTTTTCTTTTTTTTTTTTTTTTTTGTTGCTGTGCTGGAGTTTGAACTCAGGGCCTACACCTTGAGTCACTACCAGTCCTATTTTTGTGATGAGTTTTTTTCAAGATAGGGTCTTGCAAACTATTTGCCCAGTCTGGCTTTGAACGGAGTTCCTCCTGACCTCTGCCTCCTGAGAAGCTAGGATTACTGGTGTGAGCCAGTGCCTGATGCTTAAAGTTGGTATCTAAAAGACAAAATAGAAACATGAGCACAATCTCAAAATGGTGAGCAAAGGAGATGCTAACGAGTACAATAAACAATAACATTTTGGTAAAATTCTGTACAAAATGATTTTATTTGAGATGATGAATGGTACTATTCTCATAGCCAAATTAGAAACTGGAGTGTTTTAAAAGTGGCTGATGACATTTCAAAGGGACATACAACATTAGAAAGGGCAGATGAGGTTGATAGGTAACCAACCGGGAGGAGAGGAGCTACTTTAAAAGCTGCCTAATGCTAGGGCTTTGCTATCTACCAAAAAGAAAGGCTTGAAGGAAATGAGGCCCGACAAGGGTTTTGCACAGCATTATCATCTGATAATAACCATAGCAATGAAAGACCAGTATATTTATGAAAAAGAGCTTTTCAAAATGTCTCCGGAATTCCTGAACTGGTGAGGTACAGTCACACTGTAGAGTTCTCAGAAGACAAAGGAGAGGCAGGATGACTAGGAGCTGACTGTGACCTATTTGGCATCAAAACAGAGTAAGGGAATCACTTAGAAAAGGCTACTTTGATTTGTAACCAAGAGCTTGCAGAAAAAGACAACTGGGTCTCTGCCGGGAGCTCCCAGAGCTGCACATTTTTATTGTCACCTTTACCAAGATACAGGCAAATCCTGTATCCCCTCTGCCAATAAGTGAAAGTCCATGGCAACTCTCAGATTTGAAACCAATTCAGAACTATAGTTTTCTATAGAACAAAACTACTCTGTTTTAGTGTGCTTTTCTCTCCCAGAAGGCAGGGAAAGATGGAATTAACATAAAGCTGAGTGCACAAATGGTTACAAGTCTAGTTATCTGGAAATTTATAGGCATTGCTGTACATGGCTCTAAATCTTTTTACTCTAGATAGGTAAATAATTTTTTTTTTTTTTTTGGTAATACTGGGGTCTGAATTCAGGGCTTCATACTTGCTAGGCCAGTCTGCCTGCTAATCTCTTTACTGTAAAATTTGGAAAGAGGCTGGTTCGGTTGAGGCAATGCTCCAGAGGAGGAATGCACCTACTAAGCCTGGGCCACACTGGGAGTCAGGGACCAGGAAAACTTTTATAACTTAAGAATTAAGTTTTATTCAAATGCTTAAGCATACAAATAAGCAAAGGACACAAATTTATCTTAAGTAAGTTTAAAGTTGAGCGAGACAGCGACCGAAGCCATCCGCGGGTGTGCGTGCCTCTGAAGCCTGTGGTTCCACATGAAAACTCCTGGTCCCTCACCCTCACAAACAGCGTTTGAGGCCTGATCTGAGGCTGAGAGTGAGGAAGCTGCTTCAGCCACCATTTCCCAGCAGGAGACATTCAGTGCTTGCTCATCCATCACCTCCTGACACACAGGTGAGCTCACCAACCCATGTTCCCTCCACTTTGAGAATTCCAAGGAATTGTTTTGTCCATTACCTCACAGCTGCATTTTCCTCCCAGCCCCCACATTCCCTTGAATTATGACTCGGTAGCCACACAAGCCCTTTGGTTTAACGGAAGCAGATTGATTGAGAGATGAGATTATGAAAGGAGGAAGAGCAAAATTTCAGTGAAGGGTTCCCCCCACCCCCAAAGACACTCTGAAAGTAATGTTAGCCCAAATCAGGGAGAAATTTAAGAGATGAGGAATGATGGGAGTTTTACACAGGCAAGTTAAACATATTGCAGTCAACAGAAGGGGACACAATAAGGACTTCTGAGGTGTTGCTCATGTTTTATTTCTTTACCTGGTGCTACTTATGAGAGTGTGTTATTTGTGAAAAAGCACTTTACTGTTAGATGAACATCTCTGTGTATAAAGTAAATCAAAAATTAGAACTATCTCAAAGAAATACAGTAATATAATTTAGTGCATACATAAGAACTGGGGCCTCACACACTTCATATACAAACTGCAGAGCCCCCAAATACAGGGGGAAGCAGAAGTAACATGGTGAGGACTCAGAAGCTCCCATGATGATAGCTATCATTGCCACTCTGTCAAAAAAAAGTTAATGCCCACAAATAAAACTTTCTTTAACAAGGACAACTCAGAGCATTCACCATGTTCAATCGGTTCTATGTGTGAAATTGCCTCCCATTCTACAATATGAGAATTTGATGACAGTATGTCACTACTGCTAAATGAACTTGTCATTTACTTACTTTCTTTCTGGTGGTAGTGAAGTTTGAACTCTGGGCTTCACACTTATTAGGCAGACGCTCTACCACTTGATTCCACTCTGCTAGCCCTGTCCCTTTTATAATGCTAGGAAAAAGAAGAGCTAGAACTACATTTCTGCACAATTACAGAAAAGCGCTAAGTATCTGGTTTATAAAATGCTGCATTTTGAAAAACGGGAATTTTTTTTTGCCTGAATATATTGTCATTTATATGAACAACAGAAAAAGGAATCTTTATTTTTTTTTTGGTGGGACTGGTGTTTGAACTCAGGCTTCACACTGGCAAAGCACGCGCTCTACCATTCGAGCCACACCTCCAGTCCTCCAGTCCAGTCCATTTTGCTCTGGTTATTTTGGAGATGAGGGTCTTGCAAACTACTTGCTCAGGCTGGCCTTAAACTATGATCCTCCCAATCTCAGCCTCCTATGAAGCTAGGATTACAGGCATGAGCCACCAGCACCTCCTCTTTTTTTGTGAGTTTTGTATTTAAACCAGGCTTTGTACTTGCAAAGCAGGCATTCTACCACTTAAGCTACACCTCCAGTCCATTTTGGAGATGGGAGTCTCATGAACTATTTGTCCAGTCTGGCCTCCAAGCATGATACTCCTGATGTCAGCCTCCCAAATAGCTAGGATTACAGGTGTGAGCCACTGGTTCCTGGCGTTTATTTTGTTTTGTTTTTTTAAAGAAAGAAGGCAATAGTTAAGATCCCATCAAACCTGTCAACACAGACTCTAAATGTTGAACAGCTTGCAGGGTGTTCAACATTTCTTCAGGGAAAAAAATATTCAAAGTTCTACCTGGAAAGCAATTTGTATAAGAGCATTTGTGTATGAAAGATAAGAACAATTACATTTTTAAACCTTTAATAAAAGACTAAAACACTATTTGCAGCTAATCTCTGCATAACAGAAATTCAACATATGCCAGTGAGTTTTCCCCAGTCCTCGTAAGACTCAAAGACTCAGGCAATACCAGCCCAATCCCTAAGTACCAATCCATCTATCCATCTCACGTACTATAGCAGTGACACGTACTATATAATTTCAAGAGCACACACACAGACTTTGAAAAGACTTCACCCCAAGAACAAACTACATGGCCTTGGCAAGGGTAACTGTCCTGGGAGAG